ACCGTCATTATAATAACTAATTTATGTGCCTTAAATAAACTCAGTATGTACTGAAATAACGATGGTTGTTCTTAAAAGGGTCACTAGATGCTGAATCTGGACTAATTAGACTACTATAATGCTGAATTAAATCTCGGCAATTCTGAACCATAACATTCTACAATGGGTAAATTCTCAAATGGTTTGATTATGCGCACAGTTCAGGATTCAGTTCTGGTTCCCAGGACGACAGGCACTAATCGAACACTATGTTCTTTTCCAGGCATTTTAAGGAGTAGATCAGAACCTACTGGGTTTGCTAAGCAGCGTAGTTTCAGCCCATATTCAGCAGTGATTGGGATTACTACAGAACAAAAATACAATTCAGTGCATAGAGGCGATTTTTCAGCTGTAAATCCTACTTTTAAGGTTTCGTCGAATTAATCCCATTTTAAGAACGACCCGCGTTATTTCGGTAAGTTGTGTGTTCATTTTAGGTAAATAAAATATCCAATCAGCATAGAAAGGCATTGTGGACGCATAGGTAATGATCCGTTTAGAATTATTGTAAGCTTTGGAACAGGGTGGAAACAACAGTGGGTCCTGAGCAACTTCGGAAAATGCTTAGAAAAGCGCAGGGTACCGAATTAGTGCCAATCATGCTGAAAACAAGAACTAAGTCCTAGTCTATGCGCATAATGAAACCATTTCGGAACTAACTCGTCATAGAATGCCAACTAGCACAAAGCCTAGCTCTAAGGCTTCCTGCCGATCTAGCCATCTAATATCATCAAATCAATGTGCATCTTGATGGCGAGCTACCTAGAATGGTGACCACATTGCAAACCTAACTGATAGAATTCAGTCTGCACCAAAGACAGGACTAGAAATCACACTTGTAACTAGTGTCCAAGGTAGCTGTACGAGAGGTCAATCGCGAGCCCAAATGGCTCGGTGGTAACGTCTTTGACTGCAGCACTGGGTGACACGAGTGTGAATTTCAGATAGGATTTGAGTTCCTTCAAAGTTGCAGATATACCTTGCTGACGAGTGTCCACCTGCACAAAACCTAGGTCCAAGGCTTCCTGCCGACTGCTTCCAACCACATAATATCATAGAATGTTAGATTTAATTTAGCATTATAGTAGGCGCTGTAAGGGAAACGTTTTGACCTCCATGTAAAAACTAACGTTTTTGACGTTGAAAGTATAGAATCTTTGAAAAATTGCTCGTTTTGCTAACGAACTACCAATATTTCACACAGTGTATATATTTTCGCCATTACAAATAAATCTAAGCAGTGTCACAGAGCCACCAGGTTCGGAATCAGTAACTATGGGGATTGTCTAGCTTTTGTTATTTGGCCGGAAACAGTAGTTCATAACTTCTTTGATTTCCTGCTTATGCCTAAATATATTCACCTTGATTGTTTTCCATTCTAATTATTACTAACCCGTATTTCACGCTGAGTAAGGCGGCGTTTCAGTGGGCGAAATCTTAGCCACCTCCATGAAAATGGCTTCATAGCTTCATCTATTGACTTTTCCTTAGTACCCAGAACTTTATGCATAGTCTCAGCACTACTTACCATATTAAGTCACCGATCACCGCGGAGTAAATGAAGACGACTCTGGTATTTACACATCTTTCACCGTCTATGCTATTGCCCCATACCGATCAAGTGGGTAAGAGTGGCGTGCTTTAATGTACAAGTGATGCAGTCGCTTTCCCTTTGATTACGTAAAGTTTTAATGAAACATTCCATAGTCGTATATTTTACATATGATTATTTTCCTTATTGAACTGAGTAGGATGAGATGACATCATCTTAGCTTCGTTGGTTCTTTCCAACCACATAATTTTAATATAAGTACGCAAAATATTCAAATAATTTAGTTATTGATCATAAAGGCCACTACTTCCACGTGATCATTGTGAAGGAATAAACTTTGTTACAGAGATGATCACGGGAATATTCTAGGATTAGGAAAGCATGTCGTCAAATAAATAGTGGTGAGAAACCAGCAAAAAGTCTGCGTAATTTGGAAATTCCCTTCGCACATTTAGGGGAAACGAAAAAGTTGACAGGAATTTATTCCTTTTCAATCAGTTCTTCCTTATAGGCAGTACAATAAAGCATGTCGGTATACCGACACTTTCTAGGCTATATGACTTAGCTAGGATTCATGAGACCGGGTTGCCACGTAGATCAGTCCTAGATACATTTAGTTCACCATACTACTCAACTTTTACAGCCGTTGTACAATAAACTCATAAAAATTATTCTATCTTGTTTTCGAGGTGTCCTAATGGCTAATTAAGCGGACAGAACTATATAATATGAAGGCGATTGCATCGGGAACCTACGTCAACTGGGCAATGTACCCCCCTGAGTTTTGTTTCCCCTGCCCACAATACAAACGTAATTTGCTTAGGTGTTTTGTTCACCGTTTTAGGGTTATTTGCTCAGATGAAATACCAAACGAAGAACTTGCTAAAATTCGTGATCTACTAAATAGAAACGGATATCTGACGAGATTTTTAAACACATGGACTTAGCAAGTGCCCACAGTTTAGAAATCATCAGTATTCCTAAGGCTGAGATTCACGGGAGATGTTTGTAGAAAGATTTTATTGCATCTGAAAAGGGTCGTCTAAAGCAGATGTTTATTCACTAGCCAACCAATACTCAGTTCAAGAAATAAGAACACAGGTTTGTTTCGCATCTTTCATATTTATTTACCAGTTTAATTGCTCCTCTGGAGTTAGTTACGTCGGACGTACGACCAGGCAAATTCATCATCGAATTTCTGCACATCTTCCCTCCTGGTTTGACAAAGCTTCGGATAAAGCTATACGCAACTCAATACTAGCTCTTTCCGTCGATACTGCACATCAAGTTGACTTTATTGAAGCTTTGGAAGGCACCCAACCTTTGGCATTGTCTACGAGTATGGTTTCAACGCACAGCATAGGCAGCCAGAATTCATCTGAATTAGCCAAGTCCTGTGTTCAAAAGAAATTTGTGCAGTCCCTTTCCCGCGGTCAACCATATAATATGTATTAAAGTTAGAAAGCCAATAACTGATGAGACTTGAGGCTGGTTAAAATTAAAACAGGTTGATATTACGAGCCCATTAGGTTTCGTCCTACTGAATAATTGTATGGGTTATCATCCGCAGACAAGACTGAAAGGCGCGATCGACGAAACATTTTACAAGAGGCGTGTTGACACATTTTGTATACACATGCCTCCAATCTGCGTGACCTACTTAACAAAATAGAATTGATTATGGTGTGAACAACTCGTCCCGTGCGTACTGTAGACGGGAATTTTAAAGGTATATTCATCGTAGAAAATTACGAAAGGAACTGTATCCGAGTTTTAGTAGTTTTTGACAAACAAATTATACAGAATGTTTAGTCAAGACGTTGTTCTACAACGCAAAAAATTTGTTCAAAAAATGACTTAATGATAAATTTGTCATTATTACTGACGTATTTGCGGAACAGTAGATATCCTCGAAAATTTATTGACAGACACGAGAAAACTGGAAATAAAGGCGGAATGTGACAGTTGAGAAGAAACTTGGATTCAAAAGAGACTAATTTCTTTGGCAGAATTTAATGTAGAATAAATGCCACTCTCAGGCAAATTTATGTAGCTGCATTTAGCCGGATAAATTGCTCAATGAGTGCAATGACAAGTGCTGCTTTGATGTTATCTCCAAATGCACAAACCAATTTATATTTACGTGCCAAAACAGTACATCGGACGAACAGAAACAAGGATTTGTAACCACATATCCGGGCTTGTCCCAAGAAAATGCAGGCTAAGAGGTGCGGAAGTCCGCAGCGATGCCATCGTTCACTACTTAATAGGTAGATGTATTATAATTATTAAAGTTCAGGTTACCTTCACATTACTACATATCTCTGCAGCGGTTAGAAGTAAACTTATGCATTTCGAAAGAAATTGTTGTTACTCTCGACATAAAATGGTGATGAATATATTTCAGATTTTTTTGAAAGCTTAGTTTTGTTTTCTGTCCACACCGCTGACTGAACTAAACTTTGTTTAACTAAACTATTTAACTCTTACGTAAAAATAATGTTAGTTTTTTTGCACTACTCATTTTACGACATCCTTTCGTAATTCTAGAATATTCCCGTGATCATTTCCACATATGCTAACAAGCTTAATAACAAAGTTTATTCCTTCACATTGATCACGTGGAATTAGTGGCCTTTATGATCAGTAACTAAATTATTTGAATATTTTGCGTACTTATATTAAAATTATGTGAAAAGAACCAACGAAGTAAGATGACGTCATCTCATCCTGCTCAATTTTTTTCAATAAATAAATCAAATAATTTTGACTGAATGTTATTGCGAATACCGAACAACAGTCTACTATACTCTAGGTTACAACTTGAATATGAAGTCAGATCCTGAGTTTAGAGTTTCGGATGTGATCCCCATATAGTACAAAAGCAATACAAGGGTTTTAGCTAAAGCAATTTCGATTTGTTCATTTCGTAGATTTCGACAGTCTTGAACATCTGAATAGTCACGGTGAGTACATACCTAATAATAGGTGTGCGGGACACGAAACTTGAAGAAAAGATGTGTGTGTTGAAAGAAGTTAAATGGTATGAACGATTATAAAACTACCATAGTGATGATTTTATGTAAAAATATAATACATGTTAACAGTGATTTCTATTTCAGACAATGCCTACTAAACATCGGTTAAGTTCTAGCGCACAAGACGGTGAATATGAAGTGGAAGACTTAATCGATATGCGAACAGTCAATGGGGAACCAGAATATCTAATCAAATGGAAAGGACATCCGCAGTGAGTAATTTTATTATTTCTGAATTCTCAGAACAGTTCCAAAAACACATGGGAGCCACAGTCCAATTTAAATTGTCCGATTTTGCTCAGACACTTCTTAGATAGACACGTTATTGGCAAGCCGACAATAGCTACTATAGTGAGGATTTACAATATTTCATGAAATATTTGCAGCCTAAAGGTACAGAACCATATGGATTTGATCGTGGACTGGCGCCAGACTTCATCAGTATGGTAACGAAGAAGGATGATGAATTATACTTCTTGATCAAATGGTAATTTTATGCTCATACTTATTCATCAGTAAATATTAGGAAAGGAAGTCAAGTGCGTGACGTTGTACCAGCTGCCCAAGCGAATATCCGGTGTCCACAAACTGTTATTAGATTCTACGAGAGTATTTTACACTTTACCTGAAAAAAGTGACTCATTGTAATCTTTGTATAAAAAGGAATTATTACATATTACTTATTTGCTAAAATCAAATTTTTATTTGAAAAGAAATCAGATCGATTGTCATAAATACCCTAGGACCAAAGAAACTTCTGTACAAAAATAATGAATAATAATAATGTGAAAGGCAGATAAGTCTGATGAATATGAAAAGGGCACGGGAGGACATTCTTTGCAAGTTTTTGCCTAGACTTGATTAAAGTGAGCAATGAGATCGTCTTTTTCTTGACTACCCATCTCATGTACCAATTCTGCATTTTCCTTTGCTACCTGCCGCATCTAAGAAATGAAAAAGAGTAGTAGTAGCAGCACTGCTTGGAGTTTTTTTAAATAACGCGCATATAACATGATAATTAGATGAATTTTACAATAGCTTATGAATAACAACTGTTGCTTATACTTTTTGAATTAAACTGATTTAGTTTAGTTAAAGCTGTACATCTAGAGTGAAAAAAATACAAGAGCGAGATTTTTGTAGCAAATGTGAAGTGAAATGCACTTCAATTTCATAATCTCAGGCGTTGCGGTCTGTTTTATATTTTTATGACACGTCCGTAGTAAATTCGCTAAGTTCCTGAATGCCACTCATCAGGGAACGTAAGGTAGTCACCATGTCGAGGCTAAACACACAATTATTGAAGGCTTGTTTTTTCGTATTTACGGGAAGAAACTTCAGACAGACAGTTCCTTATTCGAGAGTACGTGTTGACTGGAGTTAAGAGAAACTTTCTGTGTAGGAAATATTTGCTAAGCGTAAGTTACACAGTGGATTTACACCATTTCGGTAGGTTATACGGAATACATGTTGAAAATAAATAAGAATAATAACTTTTAATTGACTTAACTTACTTCATTTATCTGACTGGTGTCAATTAAGGGTGCGTCTATGATTGATGCAGGATTACCAAAAGTCCTCGGTAAGAAAACTGGCAAAGGTGGTGGACCTAAGGGCTGTCGCGCAATATTTTCTCTGAAAAATGTGAAGCATAATATCACAAAATTACAATAGATTCTTGAAACATGTATGATTAGGTCTTTAAATACTTAGGAAGAAGTAGGCTTTCACCCTTTGGAAATTTTATTGTTTAAAGTTCCATATCTTACTTTTGCACCTTTTTATGGTAATTCTGTATACCTTCTGGGATATCTATCTATCTTTATTCTTTGATCTAAGCTATGGGCGAAGACGATAATATATTACATTTCACCAATACGTTTCAGCTCCAAACTTTTCGAATAAGAATTCTGTGACTCAGCAACAAAAAAACTAACTAACTTATTTACATATAATAGGTATTACGCTCAGTCGGCAGTATTCTGTTAAATTCAATCCAATATTTGAGTGGGAAACTACAAGATTACATCTGATGCGGTAAAAATGAAGCACTAAAAGCCTAGAGGTGAATACAGTACTTTTAAAGATCGCTAATTAAGTGATGAGATCGTAAGAAGTTGGACCTACGAAGAGTGTATTTTCTCAAGTGTTGGTTTGCAGGGGTTTGAGTGACTTCAACATTGATCACGAACTGACCTAATTTACGGGGCTCTTAAGCAGTACGCACCTGGGAGTGAGGCCACGACCTTCAGGTTATAAGGCAAGCTCCTAGACCATGCAACCCAGTGGCCCATCATTTCTAACAGCTGTCCACTAATCTCTGGTTTTCAATGGTCCTCTAAAGGAAGTCACTTCGCGATCAATCCTGAAATCTCATCTTTGCTTTACACAAAATATCAATTTCATATACACAAGGTTACGTACAACGTAGCTGTATAAAAAAGCTTGTACAAGTAGTTTTTACGAGTCTGATTTAATGGATAGCCTAATATTGAATTCTGGGACCTTTATAAATATACGGATGCGAGTTTTGAGTTCTAGAATATGATACCCAATGGACAATTAACATTAGTTTATATTTCCTAGACTGTTTAAATCACTTTCTAACTGAAAAAGTGAGTCGTCATTCGTGAACTTTAATCTGATTCAACATATGCACAAGTGACAACTGTATGGCTTTTCAACGCTTTGTTGGGACAACAACCAAAAACAAATGTGACGCCCACAAGTATCATTGATTACCGCGAAACATTTTTTGGCTTTAACATAATCTACTAATAATTAGGAAGGGGTTAAACGAAACTTACGCATAGTATCTTGATCGTTCAATATGCTCTTGTGAATCCAGAGGATTGTAGTCAGTCGCACCAGCGTCCAGCACTTGACTAAATTAGGAAGTTAGACAAAGTAAACTCAACAAATAGAATAGGCTTGACTGACTGTCAAAAGAGAACTAAGTGAATTTTAAAAAAATAGACGTTTTGAAATTCACAGTCCAGACGATGATTAAACTTTTGATCGACGGAAATGGCACTCCGGGAAGTCTACATACTTCCAAAATGAATTTTAATGTTGGCATTGTATCACTAATCAATTATTTGACAACAGAATATGTTAACCAGTTTCAGTGTTGTTTCATCAGTTTCACTAACCTAGCATTTATTACCAAGATATACAGGTAAGACTCAGATGTTTATGCGATTTGCGTGATTAGTTTGCAATTTACACAATTCGTGGTGAGATTTCACCACAGTCTCCCCTAGAAATTGATGTTTACGGAGACCATAATATGTAATCTATTTGACACCATACACGGTAACCTAGAAACCGAGCATAAATGCATGAGACTATATGTACCGCTGATTGATTGAGGTGAGCAATGGTGTATCACTCACACCAACTAGTAGTGCTTGTTACCCAGATCGAAGCGATCTAAAAATCATGTAACTGTTTCATGGTGTGGGTGGTATACAACTACTCATTTCAGTCAATTAGTCGTACGTAATTTTTTTCACAGGTGTTGATTTGTCGAAAATTTTATAAATACTTTAGAAAAGTAATAACTCCACATAAAGGTTCCTTCAGAAGTAAATCTTCGCGACACTATAAGAAAACCATCTTCAAATGAGCCACCCCACGTATGACTATGATATTGATTTCATATGTGAATTAGTCATATGACACTAAACAATCAATTGTGTTGATGGAAATCTGTCAATCATATGTGCACAGTAGGTGGGTAGTCATGCTAACCAGCGAGAAATAAGGTGGAACAGTTGAATGGATTATGCTTTTCTTATTCTGGTGACTGAAATATTAGTTGCCTTCTATTCATAGGCATATTTATTACAAGCGAATATTCATGAATTTCGTAAAGAATGCGTAAAATACAGTCTAACCAACACAGTGACATTAAAATATGGTGGTTATTATTGTTCCCTGGGTTCCTAGTGGAAAATAGGGCTTCAACTGCACGTCTCCACTTGCTTCTGTCTTTTGCTTTACTTTTCATGTGCATCCATGTTATTCCATACTCTTTCAACTCCTTTTCACACAATCTCCATGTCACCCTTGCATTGACGTCCCACTCGCCACTTCTCTTTTGGGTTCCACTCGAGCAATGGCCTGACGTGCGATGTCACCCAGCGACCTCCTCAGTGAGTGTCCAATCCATCTCCACTTTCTCCTGCATATTTGTTGGGCGATTGGTTCTTCTTTTGTTTGTTTGTTCCCATAGTTTCTTGTTGATAATTCTTTCCGGCCATCTGATCTTCAGTACAGAGCGAAGACAGTTGTTAATAAAGGTCTGCAATAGGCTGTTGGAAATATTCTTTGTGACCCGCCCGCCAAGTTTCTGACCTGTATAGAAGAACTGACTTGACGTTTGTATTGAAAATCCGAATTTTGTTGTTGACGCTGAGTGACGAAGATTTCCAGATTGGTTTCAGGTTGATGAATGTGTTCCTCACCTTCCCGATTCTCGCTCAAGTTGACATCCTCGTCCGTTCCTCCTGTAGTTGAGACAATGCTCACTAGATAAGTGAATGAAGTCACTAACCTCTTTCAAATCCCTCCCGTTGATGGTGATTGACGCTGGATGTTGCTGTTGTTGTTGTCTATGTTCACTTGGAGTCCTTTTTTTGCTGCTTCTTCGACCAGTTTGTCCGTTTTCGCTTGTAAGTCTTCGATCTTGTGTGACATCAAACATAAATCATCCACGCGCGAAATCCAGGTCTTCTAGGTTCTTCACGTCGGTCCAGGATATTCCTGTCTTCTCATTTCCCACTGTCTGACGCATAATCCAGTCCACCACAATTAGGAATATCATTGGTGATAATAAGCACCCTTGTCTGACTCCTGTGTTTACTTCAAACGCCTCGCTGAGTTTTCCGTTGTGGATCACTTGACATATGCCGTTGTCGTACAGCTGTTGAATAGGGTTGATGAATATTTGGGGCACGCCGTAGTACTCGAGTAGTTTCCAAATTACTTCGCGGTCAACGCCGTCGAAGGCCTTCTGGAAGTCTATAAAGTTGAGGTAAAGGTTTGATTGCCATTCCATGCTTTGTCCTGTGATGATGATGCGTAGAGTTGCAATTTGGTCAGTACATGATTTGACTTTCCTGAATCCAGCTTGTTCTGGTCGGAGTTCTGTCTCCAGTGCGCCCTTTAATCTCTTCAGGATGATGCGACTCAGAATTTTACTTGGCGTCGACAGGAGCATGATTCCTCGCCAGTTCTTGCAGAGTAAGGCGTAAGTCGCCCTTCTTTGGTAGTTTCTGGTCTAGTTTCAGTTCTTCAGGGGGTATTCCATCTGGTGGTTAGTGTTTATTAAATATCCATTTATAGTTATTCTCATGGGTTATACACTAATAGGACAAGAAGAATTCAGCAAACAGATCACCTATACATATACATCATTATCATATAAACATATATATACATATATATATATATATATATATATATATATATATATATATATATATATATATATATGAAGCATAAAAGAAATCAAGTCTTATAAACTCACTTTTCAACCACCTTTATTATGTCGGTCATCATAGTATTAATGTCAGATTGAGGTTCAGTTGTAACATAATCTGGAGACACAAAACTAATAAAAAATAAGCAAAAGTAGTCTTATCATACAGGTTAATTAATTTTTTTGAACAATGCACCCAAATCACGACCACCACTTGAACTTCCGTACGGTTCACAATGAGCCGCATCAATTGTGTGTGAGAGTGAGGGGGGTTGGTGTTACTACGCGGTAGGCGGAATGGGGTTCAAACCCATGGAGTTGGTGGTCGATAATCAAGATCGCAGACCAGTGAATCACACCAAATACCTAAATAGAGCTTATGATGAACACAGATGCTACAAGCAGGTAAGATAACCACAAAAGACCAAAAAGAAGTTTATTTCTTGATGTACGTAAATAATTATGGAACGTTAGGCAACAAAAATCTGTACACAAATAATCGTTCAGAGTTCGAGATCTATGAGATGTAAACACGTTACCAGCGAGATCTTGTCTGCTGTGTACAAAATGTAGATATACGAAAGTATCATTAAGAAAGAAAATATTCGCTTCTTATAACTATGAGCTTAAGGAGGAAATACAGTGGTCAAAGACGTCATACTCTAGATTTGGTCACAATTAAACATACTTTAGAAGTCTAGGTATTCCTTCATTTTCCTGAATCTTGACCATAAGTAATGAAAGTAATTCCCAGTTAAACTTCTATTAGTAAGACTTGCCTGCTAGTGTGATATGGGTTTGAAAACATCCAAAGGTGTTGCAAAGTATTCAAGCCTATGGAAAACTGTAAATTACCATATCGAACCTACGTATTTGTTGATACGTGGGTCTTTGAGATATAAATTCTTTTGAAAAACCAGGTTACCAGTACACTGAAGCGCAAATGGCGCTTTTCTTTTGTACAGTAAGATTAGGCCAATAGGACTTAACAGTGGCAACACTTGAAGAACGAAATAGGATTAATTATTTTGAAAGGTTTCGGAAAAAATAACCTCACATTCTGCATCCTTTAAGTATCTGATGTTGGCATTTCGACATAATCTCATACAACCTAGGAGATGCCTTGAGTAACATTCCTTCCGACACACATTCAAAAGTGGCACTACTCGAAGTAGACAGAGAGGTTTTAAGGTCAAGGCTTTGCCATTAGTGATCATCTATCATTACATTGAGGATATGATTACCTATGTTGTAATGGTTGATTTCTTCAGGTAGGTAAACTCTTAAATAACAATATTGCGATTTAAATTCAGTTAATAAATGACTGAAGTAAACAACTAAGATGACATACCTTCCATAAGGCGGTTGTCCTCCGTCATATGAAAGCTGGGGACTTGGAATCAACCTTTGTCGTTCAACATTTTCCTCCTAAATGAATAAAAATTATGGCATTAATCACTTAAATATGACAATAAGGTATATTTAAAGCACTACTCGATCAGCTATATTATACCTGACACACTGATCAACGTAGTAATCTAAACAAACTACATCAGCACAAGTTGAGACACTTCAGAAATGCTCACATGAAAGTATAGAACAGAAAATGTGACAAAACTACAGAGGACGAGGATGTATGCAAAAGATAATAGTTAGGCGAAGATTGGTGAACATTTTCAGACACTGGTGAAGAGTAACCATATAAGTGCTGCTGTCAACGATTTAAAACCATGTCTTATAACCTCCAACTATTCATTCTTGGAATCTCACAGACCCAAACCAATCGGTCTACACAACAATCCATAACTTCATGGATGTCATGTTTACGTCTGACCACCTCTACCCTAATTCCTCTACCAACTAAGTTCTATATCAGCTAATACTGTTTGTAAACGAAAGTGGCAGCTCGAGATTCATAACACATGTCCTAGACACCTCCATTGCAACGGCTTCGTAACCCAATCGTGTGTCAGGAGTGTATACTTGAATACAGCAAGGGTGAATCCAGATTATTACTGCATAACAAATCTTTTGTATCTCTCCTTAGATTTTTGTCAACAAACGGTGCATTGGGACTGATAAAATTTACCAAAGAAGTGAAGTAGTGAACACTTTTAACCATGGAGTCATGAGTCAGTGCAAACCAATTCTATAACATTATCTTACGTTCGAAAAGGGTGAATTACATACTGGTAACACTCAGATTATCGTAAATGGTCATATTAACATATGTGTAAAAATTGGGCACTGTAGCAGTAATTCCATATTAGTTTGTTTATTAGATATATCACACAGTGAAACAGTATTATTTTCTGGATGACGTTTCGAACACGATTTATTGTTCGTAATGATATCAATTATAATCACACGAATTCGGAACTGCGAACAAGTGTAACAGAAATGATCCAACACCTGTCCCAGATATCTGGAAAATTCTACTACCCCTACAACAAATAGAAGAAAACAAAGAAAAATATAAAACTCAAGTTTCGAAGTCGTGTGATTATAACTGATACGATTATGAACAATAAATTGTGTTCGAAACGTCATCTAGTAAATAATACTGTTTCACTGTGTAATACATCTAATAAACACAGTGATATGGTGTCGTGAAAGGTGTTCAGAAGACAGTTCGATCAGTGTTCTCACTTGAATGTTCTACATTACCTGGATACTTCAGATTAACGTGGCTTAACCAATAATAACACATCAAAGTCGACCATTAGTACAATTCCATTTTGGGTAGAATTTATTTTGATAAAGTCTCACAGTATTATACAGTAATGTTTACTGATGACGTTTCGAGCACAATTTATTGCTCATAATCATATCAAGGTACTCACACAACTCTCTAACTTCGTTTGTATAGTTCCATTATTTTCCATCTTTTGAATTGATTGGTAGTAGTATTTCCCATATTTTCGATATGAATGATAAGTCATTCCTATTGCATATGTTGGGTGTACACTCGATGAACAAGGATTCAGTAATCAACCTCTCTCTCCACCTACATACATTACTTCTTAGAATCTTAACCCTCTCCCACCCACTGTATTGTGTCGTTGTGTGTTAATGCATGCAGTACAATTGCTGAGCTTTTTTCTAAATTACTTATCTTCTTGAGGTCAACCATTCTTACCTTAGCTAAATTTTTATGTTCCCCCAATCTGACTACCCCGGAGATACTAGTTTGACCTATGTAGTTGACTTAACTCACACTCATTGCAACGTATTTTGTATTATATTATTTTTTCTAATTGGGTCCACCGGGTCCTTTAGCCCACAGAGCTTGTCCCTGAGTGAGTTTGTAGCTTTGAGTGCCTCTCTAATTCCTGCTTTATTGAGAATCCTACGTAGGGTCTGAGATGTGCCCTCCTTATATGGTAAAACAGGCTCAAAATCGTTCTCAATGAGTGGCTCAGATGCATCCACTCCTTGTGACTTATGATTTCCAATGAAACTGTTTTGTTCTTCGTTATTACTCCTCCTTTGTCTCACACCTCTGTTCACTGTCTCTATTATGCTTTTCTTGTACTTTCTTTTCCTTCGCGTGCTACACAGAGTGTGGCGACTTGAACTTCCGCACATTTGCGCAAAGTTCTATGTCGAAAACAGACAGACAGACAAAACTGTAGATGCCTTATATTCTTATATATGTTATCACCATTATTTTTTACTGTGCTCGTGACCTTTCTTGATCTTTCTAATGAATTTTATACGATAGTTATTTGACACCAACGCTTCCTCTATCTGTTTCATTCCATCAATTTGGATTTTTGTTGTACTACTTAGTGCTATTGCTCAGTTTGTTAGACACTTAACTAAGCCAGATTTCACAAACAACGGATGAGATGAATTAAAGCCTAAATATCTATTAGAATGCATTGGCGTTTTATAAACGCTAGTGTGCAGTTTACCTTCTTTTATTCATTTTATTTTACAGTCTAACACAGCTAATTCTCCTTGTTCATTTTCCGACTCAAATGTGAATTTTATTCCCTTTACTAGTGAGTTTATATGTGTCAAGAAGGTAGAGATATGTTTTGCTTTTAATACTGTGAAAGTGTCATCCACATATCTCCACCATATTTGTGGAGTAGGACTAAATGTATTAAGAGCAATATTTTCCCAGTTGTCCACTAGTGAATCCTTGTTCATCGAGTGTAGACCCAACATATGCAATAGGAATGACTTATCATTCATATCGAAAATATGGGAAATACTACTACCAATCAATTCAAAAGATGGAAAATAATGGAACTATACAAACGAAGTTAGAGAGTTGTGTGAGTACCTTGATATGATTATGAGCAATAAATTGTGCTCGAAACGTCATCAGTAAACATTACTGTATAATACTGTGAGACTTTATCAAAATAAATTCTACCCATAATGGAATTATAATCTACTATAGTGCACAGGTTTTATTATCGACTATTAGTACATCTATAATATATTTGAATAAAAAAGTGAGCATGGGCGCACCTGACGAACAAGTACTTTAGACGATGTTTTCTTTTAAGCCCTCTCATCGCTAAATGAGTTCGAGTAGAGTGCCAGGACTTTCACAACAGATATTTTCAATATTCCCTACCAAGACGGATATTTTGGCAACACTTTCGCGCCAACGAAATTAAATGCTGCTATGAAATCAAGAAATAAAGTGCCAGGCACTATCAGATATATATATTTCCGAACCTTTTGGAAATTTAAGAACTATGAAACCGAAAGTCCTAAACAATTTATGTCAAGTTAAAACAAGAAGACTTGTTATCTCCCTGGGGTCTGCAAAGACAAAAGTTATTCGTCGGATAAGTCGGATACCATAGCTTCTTATCACTGACATCAAAGGTATTTTGCGTCCATTAGAGAAGGCTTTACTGAAACTACAGATAAATATAGAAAGTCTTTGTATCTAGCGCATGATTCGACCACTGAAGGCTTAGAAAAATATATTAAAATATATTGTGATTATAAATACAAATGGCCTACAATCACCAGTCACTTCACAATTTGGCATTCATCCTATGTGTGTTATGGGGTTTAATGACTGCTTTTACATATTAATAATAAGAGGGTAGATAAAAGTGAAGCTGGATGTAACCAAGATAACTCTCAAGTAAAATAAATTCGGTCTTCCTTGAACATATACAAAACTTCGTCGTAGACAAACATACCACAAAAAGACGAACAATTACTAATTTAGTCTAAGCACAGTCAGTCTTCCGATCGATAAACTGTTTCATGTTGTCTTTTCGTTTATCCACTTGTGGTATGTACCTATCTGCAGGCAGTACAACATCAATAATTGTCTGCGTGGCATCGGATCATACAATTACACAAGAATCTAGAAATACAAAGGATGCTAAGCAAAATACAAGTTATGGCAAGATTGATAGTGACCAATCCTAAGGAGCGTATATTATTTGTCCCACATAGGAATTATTTTTAGGTCATAATGGATCTGAAGAGTGTGTAATATTAATGAATAGTGTACGTGTTGTTCGATAGCTGACTGCATGCTAACAAACCTATTGAAAGATCGCTGATGGCACTACCTACCTAATTAAACACTGTTAGGTGGAGGGTTTAAGCATGTTACGCACTGACTAATTCAAATACTAATTTAATGTTAAAGCGCTATGTCAACCCAGGCAGAGGGAGATTCAAGCATATGCCAACGGGACTTTAGCCAATAAGACATAGCTACAACGACTCAATAAGGATACCTAGTACATTCCACTATGTATCAATTTCGTATACGGTCAGATATATTCAGACAACTGGGGTGGGCATCTAAAAATACCGCGAAATGTGCACATGTAACGTATAAAATACTCACTCAAGCTTTTAAAAATTTAATATACGTATGTTAAGATTTCCACGTTTCGGCAGATAAATTAGGGAACATAATTCAACCCTCGATTCATTTCCTAACCTAGACAGACTTCTCTACAGTTCAGCACACAGTGTGACATACGCAACTGACAACAAGCTCAACACTCAGTTCAACTACCAGAAAATAACATCCAGGGTTTAGATAAACTGGACAAAAGTAAGCTATGCATATCAATGTAATCCGGAGGCGAAAATAATTTAGTATTGAGAGTAAGAAAATAATGACCAGCACTTGTGGTAACAAGGAATTTTAGGATAGGCTTAAGAAAACTATCAACTCCAAATGTCTTATACTTACTTCCTCGTCTTGTGAATTGGGGCAAAGACCACAGCACCGGTTTCCCATACGTCTAAAATATTAGATGACTGTATGAAATATTACAGTAACTCAGAAAAATAAACAAGTCTTTTAAAAATGGCTTTATTTAGTGTATTGAACATGTACAATTAGTATATGAATATTTAAGGATTCATGGGTCCATCTAATGTCCGTATCTAAAAAATGAAGAATGCCTTAGTAGAAACGTACTTTTGTAACTCCCACTCACGGTTATCCAAGGGGCAAACTTGTCGTGTTTTTAGCCATCTTGATATACAGTGAAAATGAAAGGCGTGCTTCAAGACTTAGCTTTTGAATTTCAACTCACATTACAAACTCCCCAAGCCACGGTACACTCTTCACTTGTTGCTGAAGCATGATTAGCCTGACACTCAATACCTAAAATAGATGGTATCATTATGCAATCCGACACGAACATAAATCCATTATGTGATTACGGCAGATTGCACAGTTATCAACTACAATATCCCAGGCCCACAATGCAACCGCATACCACTTTTTTATTTCAAAACGCTTCTTATTGTCATTGGCTGATGCAAGCGGTCCAACATCATCTACTTCCATTTCTGACATAGCGCGCTAATCACTGGATTGAATTGACCGCTCCTGGCTTTCCAATATCAAATGCTTCTATAGGTCTATTGATTATTCGGTGCTCGCATTCGGTGTTTTAGTATAGTTCGTGATTAACTAATAAATGCCAACTCAAGCGAAAGACCAATGGAACGATTTTAGGCAATAAATCAGACTCGCTACATAGTGAAAATTTAAAGTACTCCTTTGTAGGGGTTTAGTTTGTTTGGTTGGGGTGGATTTCATCATGAGCTGACATCATTTAGAGAACCATTGAAAAGACTAGGGGTACTGAACAGCCATTTCGCCATAGTTTTTGACTGTTCAGCAGTACGCATCCACTGGGGTTCGGAATCACGCCCTTCGGGTTATAGCAGTGTGCTGCAGGTCAAAGGTGAGGACAGTCAGTCATAGAAGACACTGACAAGTGGTTTCGCTACATGTCGTGAATTGGCAGAAGCCACTGGATTGGGTCTCAGTGGCTTGTTGGTCTATGAGCTCGCCTTGTAACCAGAAGGCCATGGGTTTGAACCTCGTGGGTGTGTACAGTGAAGAGTCTCAAACTGCGACGAAACGGTTGTCCAGTACTCCCAGGTTTTCCAATGGCTCTCTAGCATAGTGACAGAGTGATACCTGGACAGAAACTTTTACTAAAGATGAATAAAGGAATGAAAAACGGTTCATGCACATCTCCTGTGTTCTTACTTTTAGCAAGTGGTTAATCAGATTTGTTCATTGTTATTCGGTCTGTGGCTGGTTTTAGCAGTTGTTCCACTGCACAGACAAATTTAAACATAAAAACCTAGTTAAAAGCGGCCTTGAGTACCACAAACGTGGGACAAAACCAGTTTCTTTCTCCCCCTCAAAGCCCTCATTTTTCAGATCTCATGGGTCCGAAAACAGACATCCACTAAATCTACGGGTTACTTAGAGGAAAGAGGGAGGGTAAAGTGAATTTATATTCATACAGACATCTGGAAACACTTTTACAAATGGTGACAGAGAACTGACGCGGAATATTCCACGGAATTTAAGCAGCGTCGGTGGCACAGTGGTTAGGACTCTCGCCAACCGTGCACATGGTCCGGTGTTCGAGCCCGCACCAACGAACATCTGATATCTATGGTCGGCCTGCAAAATTTGGGCTACCGATATCCATGCTGAAAATTCCACACTTGTACCGAAAATACAGTGTGGAATCAAGCTGCGAATAAAAAAAATTATCTTGAACCCTCAGCCGCTTCACTGTCGATGACAACTTTGTTTGTCTATGGAGACTAATAATAATGATGTGTATTCTCATATAAACATATAAATTTACGTGAGAATGCATACCATTTTTACAGGCACGATCAAGTATGATATAATATCAAATCTTAGATTGTCTATAAGTTAATTATGTTTCAACGGCTAAATATTTGACATGCATATTTATGTATACACTCATTGTCTGAACCAGGCCGTATAGTTATTGAATTGTACAATTGTCCTCCAGGTTGCGCGAGAAAATCGATTAAATTACTTGGTGATGAATATAATTTTCGAGAAACGACAGCTCGAAAACTTCCTTCTGGTTTGGCAATTTTTACCCAAGTTAGCAGGCCACTTAACATAATCATCCGAAAACCATGCGTTCATAAACACCATAATGCGGATTATTTATTTACGTTGCGTTTAGAACACTTTTTCTGTTCGTTGGTATTGCAATCGGTGGGTTCCTTTGTTTTGAAAGTTTCTACCATCACATCAGTGTGTTCACATATCCGTAATTGCTTCATACGTTGCTTCGGTGATTTTTTGAAGTGTCTTGGTCATTTTCCAGCTGTTAATTATTTTTTATTACGTAGGAGTTCCCCAACTTAATGTTGGTTGCTTGTTCGAATGGTTATTTAATCTGGAAGAGTCTATGACTTCTATATTGACGTTTATAGCATGCAAATGTCTACAAGTCACTCTGGTGAAACAGGAGTAACCACATTATTACATTATCTCGGTTTTCGGAGGACTTTAACTTCTGTAGAAAAAATTGCAAGGTCACTACTGAGGGAATTTTACCAAAATGCGTGTCGTGTTTATGGTTGCGTTACTGGTGATGTCTTGTGAAATTTTAGTTCGCCGGTAATAATGTTTTTGGCTGTGTTAACTGCCAGGGACTTCTCACAGCACTAAATGTCCAGTTGAACATAAATGGAAGCATTGTTAAAGCAAAAAGTAAATTTCCAGCCATGCGCGACTAGGAGCCTGAATAATAGTGAACTGATCCATATAAAAAGAAAAGTGGAGTACATAGGGTCTTGAAACTAGTATTACTTGAGTCAGTGAGATTATAAATGAAATCTTCAGGATGCTTTGATTACTACTCAGATTACCAGATGTATTGGCGTACAGTGCCAAATACGGAAATTCCAGTATACACGTATATGTATTCCCGGTAGTACGAAACATTAAGAAATTTACGTTAATCAAACTGCTTCAGTGAAAGTGTTATGAGAGACGGTGGGTTCAATACAGTTAAGCTTCCCAGATTGAAATCTGATAATGAACACATGCCCTCTGTATACTTGTGCAATACACGAAATTATAGCATAAATCAATGTATCACTGAAAATAGACAAGGAATATCCTCCTCCATCTGTCGGCACTTGCAACGAACATGAAGATCATCTATGTTTGTTAGACTGGCAACCAACTGAGAAGACGACAGCAGAACATCAGCAGAGTAGGTAGGATAATTTAGACATTGAATCTACATGGTCCAAATCATTTAACGCCGACCAATGCAATTAAACAACAAGTCACTTTGTCGACGAGCCTTCAAGATATCGCAATTTCCAGATCCAGTAAAACAACGCACCAAGACAGCTTCACTTCTATCCTTACGAATGTCCCCTTGGCTTTTGTAAGTTACGTTTATCCACTGATGGCACTCACATGTTGAACAGTGCTATGCTTTACGTGGAATATGCCGCGTTCGCATCCGGTAACATTGCAAATGAAAGTTTTCAACCTAGGGAGTTTCTTTTATAAGTGCATTTATTAGTGTTACTTGTATTAACCTATTTCACTGCACTTTATTGATTCACCCTAGCACTTTTACTTTTCTAAAACAGCTTTCAATCCCTTGTAAACGTTGTACTTACCTCAGTATTGGTTGGTTATCGTATGCCTACAACCACGGGATGAAAACGAAACGAAGTCGATTTTCCCACTCAACCTGGAGGACAATTGTACAATTCAATAACTATACGGCCTGGTTCAGACAATGAGTGTATACATAAATATGCATGTCAAATATTTAGCCGTTGAAACATAATTAACTTATAGACAATCTAAGATTTGATATTATATCATACTTGATCGTGCCTGTAAAAATGGTATGCATTCTCACGTAAATTTATATGTTTATATGAGAATACACATCATTATTATTATAGAAGGTTGTCTTCATAAATGAGGTCCTGGCCAAAATGACAAAGTCTTACAGATAGTAGGATATTCCAGAAGAAGATTGTACTCTGCAATTAGCTCATGTTTTCTATTATGGAAAAGTTTCACTGCAGTTCGGCTGAAATACGATCTCCCTCAATTAACATGTAAGGACTGTATCTCATTGAGATCAAACTAACTTCCGGTCTGAGCAATCAACAGTTTCCATTGCTTAAAACGAAACGTGTCAAAATTTTTTCGAAAGTGATTGTAATCAAACACTTAACAAATGTAATGCTAGGGGAGTAAACCACCCGATTTCCCGTTAACCAGTTGAGATGATGTGGTGACGCTTCCATACATGTTAACTGTTTGAATTGGAATTTTACTGACCGATAGTAATTTGGTTTTATTATTACCCGTGTCAGCCGACTCTAAGAAACGTTCAACGTTCAGCTCTTACTACACGGGAACTCACGCTGTCCCTCGAAGAATTTCAGAAACAATGTGTGATAACCAACGCGAAATAACGGAAAGCAGATTTGTGGCTCGAGAATACTTTATTCTTACGCCAACATGTAACCAACAATAAGGTTGACAGAGGATAAGCTAAGTATGTACGATAGAGTAATTGTTAAATTGACGTGCACGAATAAAGGCAGTTCTAGTTTCAAGTTACTATTTGAATGCTATTATCTTTGGTGTAAATTACTCTGTTTCTACGCTTGGTTGACCAGATACGTCGTGTGTTTGTTCGTCATCTATATTCTACGATACAATGACATGGGCGTGTTGCCGTTCAGATTTGAAGATATAGCTGATGGAAGGGAGGTCGGCAAATGAACTCTGCGACGATTTTCCAAACTAGAGCGTCAACCTGAGAAGGATTGTAGGCGTATTTCTGTAAGTTCTACAATTCTTCAAAGGGTGGCGCATCAATGAGCAGCTGAACCTGCTTGGTGTGTGATTTTGTACATATGTTCATATTGTATATACTGAATTGATAT